ACAAGTTTTATTTTGTAACAATTTTCTACCCTCAATAATAGATGCCTTAGGCAGCTTCAGAAAAGTAGTGTAACACCTAATTAACACAACCACATTCATTGCTGATGCACCAGCTGTTTATTGTTGTTTGCAAAATGATGGTGTAATTTTGTCTTAGGGCCGGATAGTACATATTTATTAGCGTAAAATATTTATTAATTTTGTTGACAATAATATTAAAAATTTGTTCAACTATTTTTTAGTAAAGTAGTTTTTTAACTACACTTTCTCTATCTATAAATACGAAACCTTATTTAAAAAATTTGAGCCAAACATTACTCGAATCAATCACATATTTTGAAATTTACTCACGTGTATCTACTTATTTATTTTTCAAATTTCATTGAAGGAGTTAAATCCATTTTATTGCATTAGTTCTATTCCCTTTTTATTCTGGTGTTGTCTTCTATAAATGTGATAGGTAGAGTGTGGTTACCAGATAACAGATACAGTACTTAAGTAGCGTATCATTCACGTAGCCCACCTACTTCCATGGAGAATCAATTAATTTTTTTTATTTGTTTTCAAGAATCAAGAGAATATATATATATATATATGCACAACTCACTATAATTTGTTCACAATTTTGTTTTTCTTTGGTGACCAGTAACTTACTCATATTCTTTGCATGGCATTGAAAAACTAAAAGAAGAATCAGTAAGCATATCTAAATTGGTCTGAAAATTTAGAAGATGTTCTCATATAATTTTTAAAATTAAGAAACTGTTAAATATGTATTTCAAAAATACAAATTTATAATCATAATAGTGAAAATTTTTAAAAATATGTAACTAAAATGATAATATATATATATATATTAAGGACCAAAATCATAGTAAATATTTAAATTTAATGACATGCAATTCAATTGGTTAATGAAATTTGGACCTGGAGAGCTTATTATTATTTGCAAAAATATATTATATTTCTAATCTTATTTTTATGTTCTCTCGTGTAAATGGATTTGGGTACACCTTGTACCTGTAATCTATAATACACAATTTTTAGTTGTTAAAAAAAAAGTTAAATTTAATAACTTATTTCACATTCAGAAATTATTTGAAATTTCTTGGTTTTAGAAACTAAAGTATGTGTTTACTATTTAAAAAAAAAGAATTGGAAAGAAAAATCTCTTTAAAAAATCAAAAAAATAAGTACGTATTTATAACATTATAATGAAGAAAAAAAAAATATAACTGTGGATCAATGTGCATGACGTATAGTTTGTGGCCCCTTCCTAGCTATACGATGAATGCTCATTTATATAAATCTATGACCATTGCAAGGTTTCAGTCTGCTCCTGAAATTTTTTGGTTGGACTTCATGCCTTTGACAACTGGTATTATAACTACAAGTACTGCTATATCATATTTTCTGCTGTACTGTACCTGAAAAACTGTTTACTATCACTATCTTGTTAACAAATCGAGTTATATGAATATGCAGTAATGCTCACAGTACTACTCTATAACAGTCAACCTAATCGATTACTCTCATAATAATACTTTCTATTAATAACTAACAGTCATTGTATAACCACTTTTTTTGGACGAGGTAAGGTAATGCACACAACCACTTGACTTACCAAGTTCGCAAATACAAAAGGATGTTAATTATTACCTTTTTTCTTTCTTTTTAGCTATTTAAGTAAAATATTAATAACTTTTTTAATACTGTCTATATTCTACAAAAAATTAAAGCACAACAATTATCAAGTTAATTGTAGCAAGTAGCAACTCTGATAACTCCATATACATGAAGATATTGAAGTAAATATATGTTACAAAGTCACAAGTCACAATACAACTTAGTGGAGATCTTACATGAACTAAAGATATGACCAACATAGAATATATAACTAAGGAACAATATTCTTTCCATACTAAACAAATTTTGTATGGTTCAAATCTATATTTTAGAATAGTATTCTAGTGTATCTCAGAATGTATTGTGTTAGTTTATTAATATTCACTGGGCTATTGAATTGTTATTGAATCACTCAATAAGTGCTATCTTATATAGATTATCAAAAGATGTCAAATTTTACAAACTTGCGGCTAGCAACTATGCAAAACAGTACATATTAATTTTGGATGAGTTAAACTTCGTAATTTTTCTATAAAATTACTAGATTTAACTCCATCTGTCAGCTTAATTAATGATCACCTTCTCTTCGCGTTCTCCATTTGCTTTTATGAGATTTGCCTGCTCATGTACGAGTTAGCTAGCTTTACTAGAACTATTATCAATATGGTTCAGAATTCAGACAGACCAAGCGAAAACAGCAAATGCTGTGACGACATATATCATCGTTTCCTCTTTTCCCTTAAATAGTAATGATGCAATAATAATGCATGTCAGTGTTCTTTGCGCGCCCTACGTACATTAACAATGGACCACGACCCTCTAGATTTCTAAAGAAACTGCAAGACAAGATGCACGGTATATATATCATCCAACAATTCCCATTAGTTAGGATTCTTTTTCTTTTTCCACAAATAAACAACTTTTTTTTTAACATTTTAGTTTTTTAAAAATTATAGAGGATGTGTATCAATGAGTAAGTCGATTCAAATAGTATATGCTTGATTTTCTAAATAATGTTTTGTAAAATTAACAGGAAAAAAAATCATCCTCATGAGATCTAGATACTTTTATTACAAATAACATAAATAAGATCAACTAACAAGGTTCAAACAAACTAAACAAATCCTTTAAATGATGATTGACTGACTTGTCAAACACATTACATGACAATATTTGGTTGGCCTTCAAATACTTTTCCCATAAGTAACTTAGAACAAGATGCAGTGATTTACGAAATAGACATCATAAGATCATCAATACTAAAATTTATAGATTTGTTAACGGTAATAAGAATATAACGTGAATTGCGAGATCATGATAAGAAGTAAGAGATTCACATTCATAATATTGTTCTAATGCATATATAGAAACTCTTAAACTTATGAAAAAATCAAGTTACATTCATTGAATGTTCTATATTGAAACGATTATTAAATCTTCTTGAATGAAGTTTTGTATTGAAATAGATTCTTAGAATCTTAAAAAGGTTGTTACAAGATAAATGTTAGTGATACATTCTAGAACTCATATTTTAATTAATGATTTTTTCTCTTAATTTTGAAAATTTTTTAATAATTTTTAACTAATAAAAATAAGCATATTAAAAAAAATATGTTAAAGAGGGTTGTTATTAGTACTTATTAGAAAATATAAGTTAGTGTGATTTGAGAGTATCCTTAATTGAAAGAAAGAATTGGTGGGGGAAGCACATGCATGTATTATTAGCAGCATTTATATTTCACGGATAACGGATCGGAGAGTGAAACCCAACGCTTATTCCAAGCCAATGAAAGCGAAAGATGTAAAAAGGTTTGGTTTGAGACTGAGTGAAACGTACAGATCATATTTATAACGATACACGCGGTTCACCACCTAACTTGGTACCACTAACTCGCTGCTCCGTTGTGCTGCAACACACTCCATATACCTTGCAAAATCAATAACATTTCACAGAACACAAATTAAAAAATAAAATTTCATATACCTGGAATTTCTTTTCCAAAGCTATATCCTCTTGTTCAATTTCTTTTTATATACTGGCATTAAAAACCTTGCACTTTGTCCTCCATTTATTTTTTTAAAAAATAATATAAAAGCAAAGCTCCATTGTTAGTGGGTTTGTAGTTTATTGATTAGTTGTAATTATAAGGGTAGTTTGGAACAATTTTAAAAAGTAAAAAGACAAAGGAATAAAACATGAACAAAAAAATCATGAAAAAATAAACAGTAATTTAAGAAGTAGTTATAGGAATAAATTTGTTCATAAAACGTGTATACCAAAAAGAACAATCTTCTTTATTATAT